TATAGTTGTAAAATTAATGAAATAGGTATTGAAATTGGGTGAAATCAATTCTAACTTGAATTGGTATGTGAAAATTGTTAGCTTATAATTTCTTTAAAAATGGTGTTATGTGGGAATGTTATGTGTTTATATTGTACCTATGTGAAATTAAGTGTGTTATTGCATAGACTATGTATAACATGCTTGAAAAATTGTTATTGGTTGAAAATGTTGTTATATGCTAGATGATGTATTGGCATTGTGATAATTTATAGAAATTATATGCCTTGGATATAATTGGCCATGGAATGTGTTGGAATGTGGTTGACATAGTTCATGTGGCATTCAGTACATATGGATACGATGTTGATATTGCAATTGTTCATTACATTGTATATACATGGAGGCATCGCATTCGTGGGCATTAAACATGAGTGTGGGTGTGTGTACATATTTTTGAATCAAACATCACTCTTGGTGGTTGATAAGTGGGCTCATTACAGTACTAAGGTTCAACAGAGTCGCACGAGTTGCATGAAAAACTTGTGTCGGGTATAGCAAGAAAGGCTAGACACTCCCTTGGGTGCAAGACCCAATAACTGGTTTATACACTTATGTCGGTGTAAGTCCAAAAAAGTGTAACGGTGTACGAAATCGGTGGTGAGATTCTAAAATTTGAATACCCAACAAGGACACATGGGTTATTTTTTAAAAAGGTCACTGGATGTGCAACATTAATGGCAAAGGCTTAGAATGCCTGATTTTATACTCATGGCATTACATTGGTTGTGGGAGCCGATAAAGGCCTGGGTTGAGTTGCATGAGTGAGTCTCATCTCATTTTATGGCATGACATGGTAATTCTTATCATTGAATTGCATATCCTTGATTGGAAGGATTGTTGCTTGTGAAATTGTGTGTGTGAACATTTCATATGTATCTAGGTTAGGGAGTAGCCTCTTTAGGAGAAACGCTATTGAGCGTGGATCACCCTTTATGGGACAATATTTCAGGTGCGGGATATACACCGATGGACGGCTCTCATTTGGGCCTCAAGGATGAAGAAAAGTCAAGATGTGACTTTATTTTGAGTTTTTTATGAAAACTTAGTTTTGGAATGTAATTATATGAAAATGATTGTAATCAAACTTGTACGAACTATGTTTTATGTGAAAACTTCACTATATATGTGTTGGGTTGATATAAAGTGGAGTGGAATGAATTGGAATTGAAAAATGATGAAAATGGGCAAAAATAGGCAAAATCTACCGGTAGAACGATGACAAACCTACCAGTAGAACGATGACAAACCTACTGGTAGAACTTTTCTAGTAGGAAAAACATAGTGGTAGAACTTTTCCAGTGTGTAAAACTTATTGGTAGAATGATGACAAACCTATCAGTAGGTTTTCCAAAAATTTGAATTTTTAAGAATGCTTTGTCATGCTTTTGGGCTTTGTGTCCTTTTATTCAATTGATGTAAATGGACAATATTGGAGTATAAATTATGGTATATTAGACCTCAGATGTGTCATGTGATTAAATATATGCAGGATATGCGTTTGAGAGTGCCCGGTATAAAGGAGACTCTACCCAAACTTTGAGTTATTCTGGTCCCGGTAAAAGGGGTTCATAATTGTTTTCGTGGGTTAATGGTTGGTCAACGAGTTGACAAAGGACCCCCGATTTTAGTGGCATCACACTCCTTCCTTCAATAGATTTCTCGTTTGGAAGTCCATCTCCAAAGTTATGGATAGCTTCACTTGAACGCTTCTACCAAGATGGAATGTCTAGGCCTCAAGCAATCTTCAAGTCTTTTACACCCAAGACTCTCGAAATGCACACTTCTCCAAGTAGGTTTTGGTTGACACCAAGCACAATCTTCTTCTTCAATATGTGAGGTTTAATGGAAGAATCAAGATGGTTGGCCTTTTTGGACTTACGGATCTAGGGTTGTTTTTGAAGCTCCCTACAAAGGTTTGGGTCTTTTCTAGCTCATAAAGGCTTTCCCTAGGTGTAAATTGTAGCCCCCTATTTATAGGTATGAAAATAGAGTTTCATTGGAGCCCAAGAAAATTAAGATTTGCGATTGAGCACTCGAGCAGTAGAAGGGCGGTGGTTTCTAGAGTGAAAAATAAGTCATTCTATTCCTCCAAGTGTTAGACCACTCGAGCGGTCAGAAAGTGGCCTAGAGAGTGGTCTCCACTAGTTCTCTAGATTTGTCTCCCTAAGTGTTCAGAGACTGCTCTAGCCAAAGGAGAATGACCAGAAGGTGATCCCTACTTGTTTTTAAGCTAGAAACCAAGTAAAAACTTCACTTGTTGAGCACTAAAGGGTGTTGCTCAAATAAAGTCCGATAAATGACTCAAAATATCTTTTCAAAATACATTTAAGGTTTAGAAAATATTTTCAACAAAAACTCTAGGAATCATTTTTGGATATTCCAAATTCCACTTTGTTCACCTTAATCATCCTAAGTCTAAAATTAAACCAAGGGATCTAGGTCTCTAAGGTCCTTACCTTTGTCCTATACTTGAAGGTGCATCGAAGTGTTCTTGATGGAACTTTATAGCTTGGTCTTCTTCCTTCCTTTGTTGCTTACAGATCTTGATATTTAAAGCTTGGTGACCATGGAATTTAGTTGAAATTTACATAGACTTCACAAAATTAGCAAATCACAAAACATGATCTAACACGCACGTCTCTATTCCTTTTGGGACTAGTTTCCTTTCTTTTCTGCCCTCATGCAGATATGTTGTAGTTGACTATGTCTAGCTCAAAGAACCTCCTCCTTACTTATACATTTTTTCTCTTTGGCCAGCATGCACGACCATGCTATTCTAGGGCTTTTGGTGACAAAGAATAAGAATTTCGAAGGCTAGAGCCTGTCAATAAATGCTACCAAGGCCATCTACTTGAAGGGTCTCAAGGTTGGAACATTGTATATACTTCCCTGGAATCTCATCTAGATTTTGTTTGATGTAGGGAGGTATGAAGTGGGTTTGAGGTGGCTTCTCACACCGATGAAATGAGAATCAAATTTCATAGAAAGCTCTTTGAAATATTTGATTCAAGCTAGAGGTAGTTTTTTGTACCAAGCTGGCATAGAACCTTTAATAGTAATGGCAAAGGCAATGCAATAAATAGGATCTTTATAGCCATGGAGCTCCATCATTTTCTTATAAGTGTTGAGGTGGTCGAATGGATCTCTAGTACAATTGAAGGCCTCCATGGAAGGCACCTTGAACTTAGAAGGAAGAGGAAAATTATTAATCTCCTAGGTAAAAGGAAATTCAATCTGCTGGACCAGATCTTCCATCAAAATGGGAGCTGTATTTTTTACAATGTTCTTCACATTGCCTAGCTCATCTTGGACCTCTCTAATCCTATCTTCCCAATAGTGATCCAAATGAGGAGGACATAGTGGAGGCTGTGGATTGTTTCTGAACCCCTCACCATTATAACTATGGGCTTCATCCTCCTAGTTTTCTTGATTTCTTCAATTATTAGCATTGTTGTTGGATTGGCTTCTGTTGTCTTCTAAAGTAACCCTATTAGAGGGTTGTTGATGTTGGGTAATAAGGAGGTGGATAATCTGCTAATTTTGCCTTACTAGGTGAAACACAATCTAGGTCAATGTATCCTATAGCCTTTTGTCAGAGACAGATTGGCCTCAGGACCTTGTAGAGCTAGAGTCATAGCTCGTTGCTAGTTTTTTCAAGGTTTTGGCTCATGCTTCTTGTCAAAACCATTAATCAAACAAAAAGGATATAAGTTAGAACGATAAAAATTATTTTCATAGACGACACCAAACTGATGGTGCAAAAAACTAAGAAGTGAGAGCTGCAAGAGCTGATGAGCTCTGAGTGAGGTGTATGGAGTGTGTATTATGGAATATGATAAAATGCATGAGGGATTAAGTGGTTCACCAAGTTGAAGGGCTAGACTGATCCATTATAATGGAGGTTGTTGCTCTTTGGTTATGTATCACTTGAGGAAAAAGAAGGAGGTTACACTTAAGGTACTTGCTCGTAGATGGTGAAGTAAGGCAATAACCTGCCTATTTATACACTAGGGTGGTATACTCTTAAAAAACTTGTCAAGGAATATTTAGGGTAATCATTGTTCGTCATAGGCTCCACCTCCCTCCCCCTCCCCCCAAAGCGTAACGTGACATTCTAGAAGTAGTGATGTGGTATTCTAGAAGTTGTGACTTCTTGTCCAAGGTAGGATTTACTAATGAAAATCATTTTCTACTCTTTAAGGTTGTTTCCAAGCTGGAATACTTGTAGCTAACATGGACATTTGCCAAGTTAGGTCGGCATATGGATGACCTGCCAACCTAACTTAGCACAAGTCTGAACTGAGTAATTTCTTCTGGTATCATCTCTTATAAACAAATATATAAATCAAACACAAGATATATATTAGCATACTTTAAATGAATAGGTCAATCCAAAAAAAAAAAAAAAGTTTTCACACAAATACCTGTGTACTTAGATGTTTATGTATAAGTGAACTCACTTGTTAGCAATTATAGGGGACGGAAAATACCAAAGACTAATGGACTAGTGCGGTTTTTCAAGTTATTTCATATAATGGTTATACGACTTCATCGCTGACACGTGATTTCACTGACCAATAATTAAAAAATAAGATAGACAAGTGAACCTAACTAATCTCACATAATTATTATTAAATGTGAAAGTTAATGGTGATTATAAAAATTGGTAAAATTCACTTGTCTTATATATTTATACATAAAATTGGTTAGTGAGACCACATTACGATGATACCATGGTAAAACCGTTACATACAATATTTTCTCTAGTTTCATAGCGAGCAAAATATAAAAAAAGGCAAAATATAACTATAAAATTTAGGGTTAATTAAAAAATGCCCCCTCCAAGTTTGGGTCATGTTGCAATCGACTCCCTCAAGTTTTAAATTCGACAATTTGTCCCTTAAAGTTTTTTTTTAGATTTAAATTAACTGAGAGAGTGAATGAAAAATACGAAATTCCTAAAATACCCCAACATCTAATCTACTTTCTATCTCCTCTTTGAATCCAACCCATTTCCCCAGCTCCGACGAGGCCTCCAACTCCTTTCCCGTACTTCGACGGCATTCCCAACCCCCACCCCCTGCTCTAGTGATGCCCCCCAAATCCCTTTCGCCTTCTCCAGAGTGGTGCCTCCAACCCCCACCTCTTACTCTGGCAGTCACCTGACCCCCACCCCTTGCTCTAGCCGATGCCCCCAAATCCCTTTCCCCTGTTTCTGTGGCAGTCCCCCCAACCCCCATCTCTTTCTCCGGCAGTCCCCCACCCCCTACTCCAGCGATGCCCCCCAAAATCCTCCTACTCCAGAGGTGGCACCCCCAACCCCTCCTCTTGCTTCGGCAGTCTCCTACCCCATACCCAACGCTGGTAGCACCCCAAAACCCACCTCCACCAGCCTCTTCCATACCAACACAAGCAAACTCCCAAGCCCCACTTCACAGCAACCATTTGATCGATCCAATCAACCATGGCACAGCAACCAATGGATCTAGGTGTGTGTGTGTGTGTGTGTGTCTCTCTCTCTCTCTCTATTGATATATATATATATACGAATCAGAGGAGGGAGTTGGGTTTCACCGAGGAAGTAGTTTCAGTTATTCGAGCGTGGTGGGTGGAGTTGGGTTTAGGGTTGAATTGGATTTCGCTGGTGGAGTTGGGTTTCGCCGGTGCGGTGCAAGTTAGGGTTGAATTGGATTTTTATTTTATTTTTTTCAAAACAAAAGATTGAGATATGGGTACTTTAGTACTTTTGATCAATTTTAGATAATTTTTATATCAAATTTCTGTCATTTTTAACGGTGTCAACTAACGGAGAAGTTAATTACAAAATATTCTAACATTAAGGGGGCAAATTGTCGAATTTAAAACCTGAGGGAGTCGATTATAATATGACCCAAACTTGGAAGGCCATTTTGTAATTAACCCTAAAATTTATCAATTGATACAGAAAATTAAAATTCTAGCCAGATAAAATATATTTAAAACCTGAGATCAAATTATCAAATGAAATAAATTATAAAACTAGTTTTTATTCATTCTAGACGAATTGTGAACAAAAAAAATACTAATTTTTTTTATGAGTATACTCTATCATTTATTAATGCAAAAAATTTTCTATTAAATCATTTTAAAGTATCCCAAGGTCATCCCTCGTAGCCTCTGTAGCAGAAATAATTTTTTTGTAGAGCAAGGTGTCTAGTTGACTTTAGCCATATGTCATCTGCGGTAAACTCAATAATTTATGCTCGAAAGAGGTGGACAGTTAGTCCCATGAATTTCTAAATTTCGTACTAGTCTTTTGGTCTAAGACTTTCGCTACCAAAAAGGTGGTGGGTTTGGAACAATTTGATAGACGATTGCATTTGGATATTTCCGAGACTTCGAGCTCCATTGTGACATCATTTGTCCGCCATTTTTGGGAACAAATAATACATGTAGCATCTAATTTTCTACAACTGTAACATCCGAGAGCAGCACATTGTAAACTATTCCCAAGTTGACTCTCGCAATTTCAGAATTGCATTGCTCAATAAAGATCTAAAGTTCTTGCGTACAAGATATTTTGATAATCAACACGGTTAAAATTTAAGATATCATAATTCAACCCTCAAATCTCAAACATATTCATTTGGGCACAGCTTGGACCGATTTGAGGCTGTAACATATACATCCAATTAGATCATCCAAGTCACCTTCTTTCGAATCAATATGCACCAAGTGATACACAGCTTTAGCTGGTCTAGGATTGGTGACTCTTAGAACCAATTACCAGATCTTATACAATATTTTGTAAAATGAACTGGAGCGAAGATCTAAAATCACTTCCGACATACTCAGCGCCACACTTTGCCGAGCCACACCATCCAATATATGATTAAGATAAAGTGTATTAACTAAAAGATTATTTTTGCCTTTTTTGTCATATTTTTTTGAGGATGATTGATACTTTTCTTATACTGTTATTATTGTTTTAACCCTCCTAAAATAGAATCCTAGGTTCCCCTGGAGTAATATCATCTCAGACTTAATGATGACTAATGTGACATTCATGGGTCAAGTATTATTGATTAGTTCCACAAGAAAAAGTCTGTTTTTACATGGTACAATTAAAAATTTTCATTCATTTGTTATGAAATCAACCATAAATCAATTCCCCCTTATTTGGGAATATTCAAATAGAAAGCAATGATTCCGGCCAAATCAAGGAACAAAATCATGCCTTAGACAAAGGGATAGCATATCAATCTCAAGGATCATATCATGGCACTAATAAAGAGCAGATCATGCAACAAGTCAAATGACAGCAAATCAGCAATTATCTTCCTTAACCTTCTCATTCATTTTGTTGAATTCTCTGCATTCTATATTCTTTTCATTCTCATATTGGGGATGCTTTTATTGATACTGGACATAGACAACTGGTTATTAAAAATGTACTTTTAATACCAGACTTAAAGAAACCTTTTGTCAATAAACCAATTTACAAGTGATAATCCTTGTAATTTTGAATTCTTCAATGGTGGTTTTGTTATAAAGGGTAGGAGCAACAAAAACATCATGATAGAGGGCAATAAAAGCGGAAATCTCTATGTTCTTGAAAAGGTGCATCCAACAGCTCTATTCTCAAATAGAAATCAAGATGTAAATGGTCATCTTCATTCCAACGTGATCAGATTTTTGAATAACAAAGACTTCATTAGAGACCATAATTGGGATAATAAGTCCATTTGTGACAGTTTTCAAATTGAAAAATCTTGTAGATTGCGATTTTTGCCGTCAAGAATGTTCTCTAATAAACCATTATCTGTTATACATTCATATTTATGGGGGCCAACTCCGGTTAAATCTCATGATAGTTATCACTATTATGTAATTTTTATCAATGAGTGCACATGTTTTACTTGACTATACCCTATGAAACACAGATATTTCGTTGAGGTTAACGTATCCGTATCGAATACGATACTCGTCGAATACTCAAGGATATGTATCGGATATATCTCCTACGTATCCGATAATAATTAAATATTAAGATACTTTTGTATTCAAGTAACATATATAATTTTTGAGTTGAATTTTTAACATTTCCTTTCAAATTTACATTTCATACAATACATTAACAAAAATTCATACTACTTCAAAGACACATGAGTATTTTTTAAATATTATCTACAATTATATGTCAAAAGAGTATAAAATAAACCTATTGTGTTATAATCTGAGCAAAAATTACTTCTAAATAAACCTAACTCGATAAATATTAGCTTTGATTTCTTTAATTAATCACTTCACTTTGTGAATATACTATAGTGATACGATATATATTTTCTTGAAACTAAAAAGAATTATTAATTTTCCTTATTGTATTAAAGAATTACCAAAATATATAAGTATTAAGTTGGTTCAAAATAGTAAAAATATTAAATATATTTTATTATAATCGTATCTTGACCATACCCGTATCTTACTTTTTTAGATTTTGTCGTATCCGTATCGTATCGTATCTGTATCCGTATCTGCGCTTCATTGAATGTTTTACTTGACTATGCCCTATTAAAAGGAAATCAGATTTCTTCCAATGTTTTATTATCTTTCAAGCCATGGTGGAACGACAACTTGGTACGAAAATAATATTTTTCAATCCAATGGTAGAGGTGAGTACTCAAATGGGGCTTTCAGAAGCTATCTCATTAAATTTGGAATAATTCATGTCTTGTCCAAAGACTCCGAAACGTAAACACCGCAATGTTACTAAACTTGGACTCACTATGATGGCACATTCTCATGTTCCTAAGAAATATTGGATTGATGCTTTTTATACCACTGTTTTTCTCGTTAATCTTATGCCTTCATCGGTTCTTGATATGAACTCACCTTTTCAAAGATTGTTTGGTAAAAATCGTGACTATACCTCCTTTCGAGTCTTTGGAAGCAAATGTTTTCCTCATTTCCATGGCTATGCTTCAAACAAATTTGCTCCCAAGTATTTACCATGTGTATTTTTGCGTTATAGCATGAAGCATAAAGGATATCATTGCTTATGCCCCACATCAGGTCGGATATAAATTTCTCGTCATGCTATCTTTGATGAGCACGTTTTTCCTTATTCTAATCACATTTGATCAAAGCAAAACAGGAAAATCAGGCCATATCCACTTTTCAAGAATGTGCAGATCAGGTGGTGAAAGAACCACACATATCACCTCCCTTTGTTGTGTCAACCCATGATCACATTGATAGTTCATCACTAGTCAACACTTCATGAATTGTTACAGGATCTCAGCAGCCAAGTTGAAGCTATTCTAGAGTCAAGTGAAATGCCCACAGATGCATTAGATGCACCACCCATGTCAGAACTTAGCCCAATATTTGGCACACAAGCTGAATCTGATCCAGCATTTCAGCCCCATAGCACCACTGTGCCTCATCTTTGTTCTTCCAGGTAGCTACTCTTGGGATACGGAGCTTAGGCCAAATTCTTCATCTCCCTCATAGTCCATTGGACACACCATGATGAATAAATCCAAGGTTGGAATTGTCAAACCCAATCCCAATATAAGCATTTTTTATATCCACTGATATTCAAAAAGAGCCTAAGACTATAAAATCGACTCTTTTGCTCATCCAGATTAGGCTTATGCTATGCAAGAGGAACTCAATGATCGAAACAACAATGACACTTGGGATCATCTTGTTCCCCGTGATCTCTCCATGAATGTTGTTGGAAGTAAGTTGGTCTCCAAAACAAAACTTAAGGCTGGTGGATCTTTAGAGCGGCTTAAGACTTGTCTTGTTGTTAAGGGTTTCCACCAAGTTAAAGGAGTTGACTTTTCTAAGACATGCTCTCCGGTTATCAAACTTGGTAGTAAGCATACTATACTCCCTGTTGCTATTATGCAAGGTTGGGATATTCGTAAGCTTGATGTAAAAAATGTATTCCTACATGGGCAATAATCAGACCCGGTATTCATGGACCAACATCTTGGGTTTGTAGACTCCTCTCATCCTGACCATGTTTGTCATCTTAAGAAAGCTCTCTATGGGCTTCGCTAAACACTTCGTGCTTGGTTTGACAGATTTAGTGTATTTCTTTTCACCCTTGGATTCTATTGTAGTGTGGCCGATCCTTCCTTATTTGTCTGGCATAATAATCATGGTACCCTAATTTACTCTTATACGGTGATGATATTGTTGTCACTAGTGATAATAGTGCTATGTTGAATCATTTTGTCTCTCCTCTCAGTCATGAGTTGGCTATGAAGGATCTTGGGCTTCTTTTATTATTTACTTGGGATAGAGGTCACTCCTTTAGATGATGGCCTTCATTTATCTCAAACAAAGTATGCAAATGGAACTTCTTGAACGTGCAAATATGACAAATTGTAACTTCGTCCCTACACCGATGGTGAAAAAAAGGTCTCATGGATCATCTGCTCCACTATTTTCACCTAACTCACTATCATAATTTGGTTGGCGGGTTACAATATTTAACTATGACACGGCCTGATATATCATTTAGTGTGAATCATTTCTAACAATATATGGCATACCCTACGGAGGAGAACTGTCATGTTGTGAAACATATTCTTAGATACATTAATGGCACTTTGGACTATGGCCTCCATCTTCGTCACTCTGGATCATTTGAACTTTATGTTTATTCTGATGCTAATTGGGTTAGTTGTCCAGTAACACGTCACTCTACATTGCAATTTTGCACATTCTTATGTCCTAATTGTCTCTCGTGGAGTGCTAAGAAAGACCAACTGTTGTCAAGTGTAGTACTGAAGCTGAATATAAATCCATGGCTTTCACTACAACTGAAATTACTTGGATCAATTTCATATGAGACATTGGTGTTTCCTTGCTTTAAACCTCCTACTTTATTTTGTGATAATCTAATTGCATTGTTCCTCACAGTCAATCCAATTTTTCATGCACGATCTAAGCACGTTGAGGTGAACTACCATTATGTGCGGAAAAAAGTTACCGTCAACTCTCTCATCACAAAAGTTTGCAGCATCATCTCAACAACTCGCCGATGTATTCACTAAAGCACCCTCACGTGAGCCCTTTGAGTCGATATATACCAAACTTGGCATCCAACCTCGTCCTCGTTTGAGGGGGAGTATAGAAAGCAATGATGTCGGCCAAATCAAGGAACAAAATCATGCCTTAAACAAATGGATAGCATACCAATCTCAAGGATAATGATCATGGCACAAATAAAGTGCAGATCGTGCATCGAGTCAAGTGACAGCAAATCAGCAATTATTTCCTAAACCTTCTCATTCATTTTGCTGAATTCCCTGCATTCTATATTCTTTCCATTCTGGTACTTAGAAAATGTTTGTTTGAATTTCAAATGGTTTTCTCCCGTAGAAACCATTCTCTGCTTTTAATATTCTGTCCATTGTATTCCTTATATAAAGAAAATATATTTCCTTCTCTGGTAGGGAAAAAGGTAATAATATTCAGATATTCCATATTCTGAGCTTCATGTTATTCCTCTCAAGGAAGATGTGGTCTACAGGGCATCCCAATTGGATTGAATGGGATTGACAGTTACAAACCAACGGACATCAATTACCATCTATCAGATATTGAAGTACATATTACATAGTAATGCACATTCCATTTATAGACTCCATTACATAGTACTAGCATTTTGTATCTAGATGGGAGAGGAATACGCACACCACAAATTCTGAACAGGCATAACTGATCGTGCTTGCTGCTTATCCCTGCAAACTTCCATCTAATGGCAGGGCAGCCATAAGCCTGTAAATGCCATTTCCAGCAATGCCAGAATACAACCAGAACCAATCCAACCTCAAGGCACCATGCGTTTCTATGGTGGAACACACACAAGGAAGACAGAACCTAACAGCTGAATCTCATAAGTCCTTAAACGGGAATGTTTCAGCAGCTTGAACTTTTCATGGCCACAAATTATAAACAAATCCCGGTCAGACCAGAGTAGAATTCCAGACTAAAATCAACCTAATGTCCAAGGTTAACAAACAAATTGACACTGATTAAATTATTTAATACTCATCACAGATCAATTCACAAGCACGACATCATTTTGTTGCAGCAAAGCTATGCACTAAACAATCTGCAAAATCTAAACAAGTGAAAATTGAAATATATCAACCCTAGAAAAGTACAAGTATTGGCATTCCCTCATGGATAAACAAAAGAATTCAACAAATCTATATTGACTTCTGCTGGCTGTAACGTAATATTCCGTAGACATCTATGATGCCCGGAGGAAAAACAGGATGGATCAATTGCTGCTCTAATTGCAACCTTTGCCACTGCAGTTGCATTTACAGGAGGACTGAATAATGGACCAATGAGAGGGACCTGAGTCAACGGCTTTGCACGTTGGAGAACCTGCAATAATTGAGTACATTGTGATAAGCAAATGACCAAAAACACCTTAGTTTCCATTGAAAAAATTATTTCCTCCTAGAGAAATTCTATCAGGTGGGCATTTCATACTCGTGGTCTGCTCCTTTCTTGGGTCTCATTATGCGTGTGCGAGAGAGAGAGAGAGAGAGAAGTTTTTGCAAACAATAGATCAAGTAGATTCTGAAACCAATAGTACTGGCAACCAGATGTAGATATGCACAGGCCGCACCAAACAAATATTTTCTTCTCTAATCAAAAATATATACAGCAAACAGTAGTTATTACAGAGGCCATTCCAGAAAACAGTAGTTACTAGATAGGTCAGTATATAAATCTACCATCGGAATCATTTTAGTACTTTATTGAGTGATAAGGAGAAACAACATACTGAATAGAACGAGAGAACAAGTATACTGCATAGAACGACCAAATTTCATAATGAAAACACAAAATACTTACCATCTCCAACGGGGAGCCAATTACACCCAGAGGCAACTTCATGCTACCCACACAGCAAGTTCCATAAATGAATCCAGGCCTCAAAATTATTCCTGAAACAAAAAGGATACTTCTGTCATGCATTTGAAATGTCCCATTCTAGGAAAAAAAAAAAGTAATGTTTTCTGAATAAAAGATGCTAGAAGTAAAACTGCAAAATCAAAATGAGTGCAGTTTTTATGAAGTCCTAATTTTAACAGTCTTTTATGCTCGAACCAGTTTTTCGGGTTAGCAGGCAGGTGCCTCAGCTGTCAGGCATTTTTACCGTCACAAAAATCTAACTATAAGTGCTGCGCAACATTTTCATGATAATGTTTCAAACCACTATGACAAGGAGATAACTCACCTCCATATGGATATTTGGTTAGTAGCTCTGTTTCGGAAGCTCTCTACATCACACATGCCACAAACATCAATAAAGTCGCCAAAAAGAATTTAAGGGGAAAAAAGGTATTTTAAACATCAAGTTGTTCACAAATACATGTATCTATACATAATGCAACATTGTAACACTTTACATAAATGAAATTCAAAGGCATACTTTGTGAAACAACAATAAACCAGTTACTATGACTTACTACCCGAAATGCAAATTGAAAATGAAAAACAAGTGCAAGAACAACAGTATGAAAGCAGCAATTCAAATTTGCTAAGGTCAAGAGTATTAGAGTAAGTTAGCATATTATTATTATTATCACAGTAGTTTAGTTGTAGAAATAATCAGTTCGGGGACTAGGGCCAATGTCATCCGCTGACTGCATCAAACTCCTCAACATGGTCCTGTTGCATCTATTTCCAACCCTTATGATGACTTTTCTTTTCAACTGAGTCAGCTCATCCAATAGCTGTCTTCATTTTCTCCACAGTTGTCTACTCCTAATGCATGTAGTTCTACATGCAAGGTTGATTGCCCAACCTTCTTCATCCTCATGGATTATTGATCCAGGAGCTAGTGATCACATATCTAGTATTTCTTCCCTATGCTCAAATTTTTGTTTTTCTAACTCACATATTGTCTTAGCTAATGATTCGGTCATGCGATATCTTCATCCTGCTAAGTTTATGCCATTAACCTTTGGTTCATTTGTTCTTGACTTTTTATTTTTTTTTAAAAATTTTGTTGTTCTATTTCCCTATTTTCTTTGCAATTCAGAATATTCTAGTATAGGACACTATTGTAGTTGTCTTCAATATCGATCTAATATTAAATAGGCAATAGGGTGCAAGGGTGTAGGATAGACACATCCAGAACAAAATATTATTTCACAATCTCTTTCCTCCTCCCTTCTCTTTTCTTCTTTCTTTTTTCTAAACCATAAATGGGCAATAAGGTCACATGTGAATACATTTGAACCACAGATAAATTGATATGAGGATATACCGAAGGGGGAAGAAATCTACCTTGCCCTCGTAGTATCCTTGTAGCAACTAATTTATCAGACCAAAGTCAGCAGCAGAGATATAAACAAATCTTTTTACTCCTACAGACAAGAATGAGAGGTCGATTACTAATCAAGAGTGTTAGTAGTAGGTATAAGAACCATACGCTTTTACTTTTAGAGAAGTAGTTCTATACTAGAGAAATAAATATGAAAGGAAAAATTCTAGATGCACATCAAGAAGAAGAAAACAAAGGAGGCTACAATTAATAGAACTACTGCCACAAGAAGGAACAAGCATCTCTAAAATTGTACAGGAGTATTAATCATAAGATGTTCAAAAGTTATTCAGCTCCAAAAAAAAATGAGGCATGGATTCTCCACAAATATAGAAAGCACAACCACCAAAAGCTACCGGCCTACCAGGCTAATAATCAGAATAGCACCTCTTCTGCTTCTCTTTCTTTGACTGGGGATTTCTTCTTTTCTACTTTCAATTAGCTCATGAAACAGTTAGCAGCATCCCGGCAGGAAGGAACACAAGGGCATCAAAAAAAAATTTTGTTATGATTTATGCAAGTATAGTCACCCATCAAATAAGTTGTAATAGTCTAACCTCCATTATACAAGGTATTTCAAGATATTTTGGTATATTTTGACCAATGTTTTGAAAAAATAATTCTTAATTTTTTATTTTTTTTATTCTGTTTTCGAAACGGGTCAAAACATTTCTGAAACATGTCAAAACGTTTCCATTTCCTAGGTGACCGAAATGAAATTTTGATCATCAACTCCAACACACCACATACAAAAGTATGGGCCATTGTACGAACCTTGTAGAAAGGTACCACAATCATCAGCAGTCCAATTCAACATCTCCACTTAAACCATCCAAGTTAAATTTATTTGTCAGCATCCTCCTTAACTTCCCTTCTTACAAATGTACTAGCGATGACCACATGCCAGAAGATACTATACAATACTAAAAATCAAACATTGACTCTGCAATATTTATATTTTAAATACCAATGTGATTTTTTTCTAATTACGCAATTTAAAATTAAAATGAAGAGAGAAAAAAGAGAAGTAAGTGTGAATTGATGAGATTGTTTGACATTAGAATGTGTTGTTTGAGTTATCTGACATAGGAGGCAGCCGTGCAGAAAGAGGATGTTTTTGAGCGGGAAAAAAAATTGAATGAATATTATACTATTTGATCAAAATAAATGAAGATTTGATCAATCTTGACTGTTGTTGTACTTTTATAACTTGAGAATTCAACTTTCTTGGAATAACATTAGATAGATGATTCAAGAATAATGAATGGGCACTTCAAGTTTTCTAGAGCTCAAGTAGTTACATTCGTGTTGTGAATGTGAAGTGAAAGTGTGGTTAACAATTAACAAGAAAATGCGATCAATAAGGAACACATAGATTTGCGTGGTTCCAAGGATTGAAATTTCATTTAAATGTATTATTTCAGTCATTTAGAAAACAGAAACATAATGAAAAAAATAAAAAATTTAAAAATTATTTTTTCAAAACATTAGTCGAAATATATCAAATTATTTTGAAATACTTTGAAAAATTCCGAAACAATTGTACAAATGTATTGAAATATTACAAAACATCTTGAAATATCATGAAATACCTCGAAATATTATAATTTCGATTTTATCACTAATTCGTTTCGGTATCCCTCGAAATGGAAACGTTTTGAAATTTTGATCCTTGCGTGGTTCGATAAAATCCCTGCCCATGTCCATAAGAGTGGTTGTTCTTCAGACTTCAATATACCAGAATGATAGTAGAGTTGCATTTTATAGGCTAACACCGACTGAGACCCTAATTTTGGTACATTATCTCAACTCAATTTATCAAAATACCCAACATACATATATCATACCGTGGGACCCCAACCCCAAAATATAATTCAACTTTGGCAAACAATAGTAGATATCTTTGACGGGCTTGTGGACTCGCTGTACTCTAGTGCACTGCTCTCCACTATGCTACTGTACTCTACCCACAGGCCATTGGAGCTTTTTTGGCATAATAGATATGAGCCATCATCCATTTCCAACTATTAGTTTCCAAAGTTTCAGAATTTCCTCCACAACCACATTGAGCATCTCTATACTTCACTCAATACCCTCTCCTATTCTTCTATTATCAACAAACTATTTTACAAGAAAACAACCTAAAACATCAAACTAAGCCAATGATTCCCCTAAGAATGGATCTGTCATTTGGACAATAAGGATGTTTAAAAGGACTCCAAATCAGGCTTTCATCACCTCCACTTTGTATGCTAGAACCCACATATGGTCATCCAGAACTACAGGAACAAGAACTGCTAAGAAATACAGGCACAAGAACTGTTAATCTATTCTACCTTTACTTATCTCTTCAAGTAAAGATTATAGCACACAGAAGACTCCTTAACTTAGTGGTGGTATATGAGTGATACATCCAGCAAGTGCCAATGCAAACAGTTCTGGAGGTTACTTATCATATTCAAGTACCCTTTATGATCCTTCAAGTTAGGTTTTTAGGTAAATCATGGACTGGCTTTTCTATGCAGATTAGCAAGTCGACCAACTCATCCACGTTCATCCGACCTACTCTTCAGATAATACTATCACCCTTTAGCATATTTAGTCGATTTTAATGGTTCACGCTCAGTTGACCACTCCACTGGTAAAATGCCCAACCATGCTGTAAACCTACAGGACTACACATTCTTGTGTCAATTGTTCTTTAAACTAAACATCACAGCATCAAATAATCCTTAATCAGAAGAATAATTAATCCAATAATCATCCAATTCAAGGGCCTTGATCCCTGTGTCACGAACACAACATGGAGGCCATTAACCCCATCTTGATAATTTTTCTTCACTTGCCCAAACAAGATTAGCTCCAAATGGTCAATGATACACCTCCCCTCAATACCACCCAAACACAGATGCTGATGCCAATGTGCCAGCCAAGAGAATGGCTCTTCCCTAGAAATTATATTGGTCATTCTATGCCTCCAGGGTTTTTGATCCCTTTCATCGTTACTTAAACTTGTAATCATCCTTTGCCAAAAAAATCATCCTTGTTAATTATATTTCCAGTCCAATCTTCCATAGTTTTTCCATACAGAAAACTCTTCTTTTTCCATACAAAATTCTATTCCTCTTTATTACTCTTGTACTCTTCAATTTACCACTCCACTTTATATAAGTATTCTTCTCACACACTCCTTCATTCTTTCTGATCAAATTTACTGTTAGAACGACAACAGAAAACAGGTTAGTCAGACAGCACACGAAGACATCTTTTTTTCCTTCTTAGCATGAGAAATAGGCTAATAGCAACAACACATTGACCAGGGAGTAACTTGGGTACTGTTATGTTATGTGTTATTTCTAGTCAAAGGGTAGTTTAGTACTTTGTGACTACATATATTCCCATAATATTTTGTCTCCTCTTCTTCTTCTTCTATTCTCTTCTCATAAACCCTAATTACTTTGTAATTCTAATCTAAAGCCGTAGAGTTGTCAGAAATCGTCAAGATTTATCGGACTTAAAACAGGGTGGCTGACATCATACTGACAAGTGACATCAGCGGCTGAAATGCTGACATCAGCAACTCGACTGGGTCAGATTTTATTTTTTTGCCCTGAGATTTATAGTGATTTTCTTGGATTTTTTTGAAGCCATATGGTGAGACTTTCGATTTGTTGAAGATTTTTCTGGTTTTTTAACCGTCAACATGATATCTGATTTTTATGGGCATTCCACCTGCTGTTTTTGCTTCCATTCTGCTGAGTGGGGTGCAAAAAAGGGTAGATCTCCGATGCCCATGAAGGTTTGTTGCAGTTAAATCAGATTTGGGAGGTGTTTTTCCCAATTTTCAGATTTGGCTACAATGTTTTCCTCCTTTGTCCAATTTCGGGCTACTGTTCCAGGCCCTCCTGTGTGAAGCTCTGCTGCTATCAGATGAGGTGTTTGGCTACTGCTTGATCCTTTTTGCCCATTGTTGTACAATTTTTGGGTCTCAATTTCCTCTTTTTTGATTTTCTCCTATTGGAAGGACATGTCGGAAGCTATTGAGACATCTACTAATGTTGGCGTAGTTTAGGGGGAGTGTTATGTTATGTGTTATTTCTAGACTAAGGGTAGTTTAGTACTTTGTGACTATATATAAAAGTTGGATGTAGTTGTGTAACCTATCACACTACTCTATTCCCATAATCTTTTCTCTCGTTTTCTCTTCTCCCAAACCCTAATTACTTTGTAATTCAACTGGCATCTTCAGTTAAAGACAGTTTGTTTTATTTTATTTTGATCCAATTAAAATAGCTTCAATGCAGCTTCCATTAGCCTGTGCCTCTCGACCCACACCAGCCCACAACATTTAGACACAGAAACGGAAAAACAAAAAGAGCAGGAGAAGGGAGGGGAGGAAGAATCAATGAAGCATGTCCCTGCATAGAAATAGCTTAACAGGATCCATGAAACAAAATTGGCATAACTGAAGTCATGAGCACCGCCTACAAAGAGACTCGTGACAGAATGAGCAAAATAAAACATTACCACATTACCCTTTTTTTCATCAAGGACACAATTATTCAATGAAAAAGATGAAGGACATTAATTTATACCCAAACATTCCAGCTAAATAATAAGGAATACTCTTAGATTTTATTAAAATGGTGGCTTTCTGAAACAGTTTGCCATGGATTCTTTGACAAGAGAATTCCGGTAGGTGCAATATAGAAGTCCATGGACCCATTTAATATTTTCAGATTATTGTCACAAAGCTTGGAAACCATAAACCGGTCAGGACCAAATGGAAAACCAGAATTCTTTCGTAACAGACTGGTGATTGATATCATCTAAGTTTTTTCAGATTATTCTGTCACAAAGCTTGGAAACCATAAATCGGTCAGGACCAAATGGAAAACCAGAATTCTATAGTAACAGACTGATGATTGATATCATCTAACTCTTTGATCTCATAGTCCAACTATTTTCCAAAAGATTACATGCAAGTAGAGCCTTGTAAAGATATGCCTTACAATTTCTATTATCTAGCGCCTCTTAATTCTCACTTATTATCAATCATGTGGAAAACAAAGAGAGAGAGTTTGTGTGCATGTGTGTGAAGGAAGGGGGGCACAAAGAGAGAGAGGTAGCGCATATAATATGACTAATCAGTATATCAATACCTTCTTCTGCAGCAGCTCTGATTGCATTAATGTTAGCAGTTCCATTGATCTTATACATGTATGAGTTAGAGCCAAAACCACCAACGCAAGAAATCTGCAAAGGTGGTCCTTAAATTAAAACAGAAAAAGTTAACGAAACCCATATCTACATCCAGTAGGAAAGAAATTGAGATATCTATAAAAACTCGTATCTACAACCATGTAGTCTTAAACGAAAAAAAGAGAACCACAATGAAGCAAGAAAATATCTCCTTGCACTAAGCAAAGGAAGATGAATTTTATTTTTTTGCTTCTTGACAAAAACATGAAAGCCAGTTGAAAACAGGGTTTCCTAGGAGATTAGGTGATTTTTTATGCCTCAAAACTTAGATGAGTTTCACATATCAAATACCCAGCAGAAAATCTGCTTACAAATAGAATTTTAAGCATTCTTGAGCCTTGCCACTTGTCATCTAAAAACCCTCATTTCTGTCAAACTCATTCTAGGAACATGCTCCAATAGCTTGAAGTATTAGCCTGCAACAAGTGTATCTTACGATATTTTGGAACCCAAATTCAAGCCACATTCATTTAAGATTCAAATGAAGTGAAAAAGTAAAGTTCGGATAAGTAATCCGATGTCTCACATATCAGAAGGCAATCTTCTATTAATAGATAAACTACATTCCACACGGAGGCAAGTATCAAAATATCGTTTCGAAACGGTCGAAACATCCGAAACGTTTTCAAGGAGACCGAAACGAAACAGTGATGAAATTGAAATTCTGATATTTTGAAGTATTCCATAATATTTTTAAATGTATTATAATATTTCAATGCATTTGCACAATTGTTTTAGAATGTTTCAAGGTATTTCAAGATACTTTGATATATTTCCATCAATGTTTTAAAAAAATAATTCTTAAATTTTTTATTTTTTTCATTATATTTTCGAAACAGGTCAAAACGTTTCCGTTTTCTAAGTGACCGAAATAATACACCGAAACGATATTTTGATCCTTGCACAGAGGTGCCCAGCTTACACTAATACAAAAAAGAGGAATATTCACAAACTCATTAGACACCAAAGCACAAAAGGAAGCCAAGAAATACACCCGGTCTTCAACTTCTAACCCTTGTCTTCAAAGATCCTCGCATTCCTTTCTATCCAAATAGTAGCAAAAAAATTACTTCCCGGGCCAATGACAACCAATCAAATCATAGGTGTCACGGATCTAGGCATCACCCAACAAACACAAAATCATACAATTTTGTTCCACAATGAGATCGCAATCGGACAATGCAAAAAAAAAAGGATGATGCATGCTCATGAGCAATCAACCATGAACAAATTTTCACCTCTAAAGACACTTTGACTTTCCAAATTTTCACTGATGGAAAGAATAATGAGTGAAGAATTATCAATTAAGAACCCAAAGAAGGATTTATTTGAAAAAATCCCCATCGGATCACCAATGCAATATCTTTTATCTGACTAATTTTGAGTCAAAGAAACAATATTAAGCATATAGAGAAGAACCAATAACTCTAAACATTCCCAATCATTAAGACTCCCAAGAAAACCAAAAATCCCAAGAAACAAGGTAAGCGTAGGATCGTACAAGGAAAGCAATCCAATGATTGAAACTCGATAAAAGCTAAGGAAAAAGAGTAGAAAACGAAGACTCCCCAGCGTAAGTACCTTCTCAAAAATGAACCCTCCTTCTATCTCCCCAAGTGAATTTAACTCTTTGAGAAAAATAAAATAATCACTTAGAAATGAACTTACCTAGACTCTAAAAGCTACCCTTTTCAACTCATTTGCTTGTAACCCATATTTGATCATAATAATAGAGTGTCACAGTGAATCTTGCTCGAAAGGGAATCTCTAAAGTCATTTAAGCTACAATCATTTTTAACCCGTTCCCAACTGAAAAAACACCTTTAACTTTTGGGCTAGACACAACCTCCCAACACATCAAGTGGTCATTGTGACCTTTACCCACCCCTTTTTATAAAAAATCTCTTGTCAACCCGTCAATCTTCTAACCAAAAAATACTTAACATTAGTCAATCTTCCCTAGAAATGAAAGTTTTCCTCCACCTATCTAATTCCTCCCCAATTTCTCAATAATAGGATCCCAAAAGGACCTACACATTGGATTACTACCTAGAGGGAGACCTAAATACTTTAACGATCATTCTTCCAAGGAAACCTTTCCTTAACTAGAATTTATACCCACAATTATACTCTTTTTCAAGTTAACCTTAAGGCTAGAAATTGCCCCAAAAACTTCAACAATCTTTTTTAAGTTCTTAAATTTCTCCTCATCTCCCTAAGAAAAGAAAATAGTATCATATGCATGTTGCAAATAAGATGCCACAACCCTCTCACTCCCAATCACAAAACCATGAACCAAATTACTCTTCTCCACGTCTGTCATAAGTTTACTCAATCCACCTAAAGTGACCAAAAAATGAGATAAAAGATTTTCTTGCCTCAACCCTCTATATGCCTTAAATTTACCCCTAAGCTTCCCATTCAATATAGCAGAGAAATCCAACGACTTCAAGTATCCCCTCATCCATTTCCTCTATCATCCTTCAAAGCCTTTTACCTCCATATGTCCAAAAAATTTCAAACCACATGGTCATATGCTTTCTCAAAATCAATATCGAACACAATAACCCCTCCCATCTCAACTCTATAATATTCAACCATCTCATTAGCTATAAGAATCACATCCAAAATTTGTTTACTCCTCACAAAAACCCCTTGAAATTTGAAAAAGTAACATTTAAACACTCCCTAAGCCTAATTAAAAAGACATTAGTATTGATCTTATACAAGCTTGTAACTAGGCGAATTGGTGTGAAATTCTTCAACTTCATGGAATTAACTTTTTTGGGGATTAGACAATTAAATGTTGCATTCATAACTGCATTCACCATACCATTATGAAAGATACTCAATCACCTTCATCTTATCCCATCAAACCTAAAAAATACCCATAACAAAAACTTCAAGATCCGAAGTTTTATCTTTGCCACACTCACAGACAACCTTCTTACTTCCTTCACTTTGAAAGGGCTCTCCATCCACCTTGCTTCCCTCTCTCAAATTAGACACCACCCAAGACCAATTAAGATAGGCCTAGATCAATCATGGTTAGAGTAAAATTGTGCAAAAATCTAACAATCTCCCCTTTAATCAAAGCCTCATCATCAATAATCGACCATATCAAGCTCCAACCTATCAATAATTTTTCTCAACCTACTACCTTTTGTCACTCTATGAAAAAATTTAATATTATTATCACATTCTTTCATCCATTTAACCTTTGATTTCTGTCTCCAACTAATTTCTTCTTCAAACACCACTTCCTCAAATTATTCCTAAGGTCCTTGTGTTCCTTCCCCAAAGCTTCATTCAACCCCCTTCTTCTAACCTATCAATATTCATAATCGTCTCTGATATGACCCTTTCAACTTCACGAACATCTCCAAACACTTCTTTATTACACATTTTCAATTCTTGTCTAACAAACTCAAGCTTCCTCATAAACTTAAAAACCTCTAGACAACCATTTCTTAATCTTTTTCATAAAACTACTATGTTCCACCCACATGTTTTCAAACCTAAAAGGGCAAGGACCCCATCATATTCGAATCTAGAAGAACTATAGGATAGAAATCACCTTGACAAAGCCTCATGTCTAACTCGGGAAACAATCCTCCCGCCCTACAGAAAACAAGAGCCTATCCAGTCTTTTGCGTACAACCCACTTCTAAAATTATAACACGTAAAAGCACCATTTGCTAAAGGAGGGTCCAGTGTTTTGAAAAGCTCGCCTAGGCGAGAAGCGAGATTTTGTCGTCTTGAACACCCCAAGCAAAGCGAATGTGACTGAAGCGAGAAAAAAGCGAGAAAAACGAGCGCCTTGAGATTAAGCGAAAGGCGAAAAAGCGAGCACCTTAGTTATACGAGACGAGGTTGTGTTTTATTTTTATTGTGGACCATTGGATTGTTTTAGTATTGTGGACCGTTGGATTGGGGTTATTGGAAAAAAAAATTATAAGATGCCCATACACCCAATTACTCCTTTATCCCATAAATATAAAACTCAAACCCTAATTTTGCTCAGGATCAGACGATCGACTACTACCGCTCGTCTGCTGCTGCTCCTTCCCCTCTGGTCAGAGATGATCGATTGCTAGCTGCTACTACTCCTCCTTCCTCACTAGTCACAGGTTTGTCTCCTCTTTTTCTTCTCTCTTCTGTTTCTCTTCTTCTCTGGTTCTTTTTTGCTTCTTCTCTACTTCTTCTCTGATTCTCTTCTCGCTTCTGATTCTGGTTCTTCTTCTCTTTTCTATTTTCTATTTCTGTTGCTACTGTTGTTTTTTTTTCTACTTCTACTGATGTCTGATAGTGTTGTAATTTTTTTTTTTTTGCTTTTGATTCTAATTCTTCTCTCTTCTGTTTTCTATTTCTGCTGCTGCTATTTTTTTTCCTGCTATTGTCGATGTCTGATAGTACTGTAATTTTTTTTTTGGTTCTTCTTCTCTCTTATGTTTCTGCTGCTGCTATTTTGTTTCCTGCTTCTGCTTTTTTTTTTCTACTTCTATTTTTTTTCTGCTTCTGCTTCTTTAATGATGAATGCTGATGATCCTGATTCTTTAATGTTGTTGCTTTTTTAATGTTTGTATCGCTGATGATTTTGATTTTTTAAGTACTTGAGATAGTTTCTTTAGTTGCTTGAATTGTGTGTCTTATGTTTTTAAATATTAGGATTTAGGATATTATTAGTGTTTGTTTAAATTTAAATGTTTAAGCTATGACTGTTATTAAAATTTGAGATATTATTAGTATTTGTTTTAATTTAAATGTTTATGGTTTTACTTGCATTTAAATATTTAGTATACATAAAATTAGACCTTAGATGTTTAGAAGTAATTAAACTAAAAATTTTTTTTTTTTTTAATTGTTCGCTTCGTTTTGGTAAATCATTTCTCTTTGCTTCTCGCTTCTCACCGAGGCTTTAGGAGCCTTGGTCGCTTCGACTCGCTTTAC